AAATTGAATAATTTTTCAGCCAGTTACTTTGCTGGTGGAGGAATGAACTTCACAGAACCCTTCTGCCACCACCTAATGGCATTATAAAGACACAGGCTATAAACTTCAGTCAGAACCAATCATCCCACATCCATTTCTCAAAGCGCATCCTCTGTTCTAAAAATCAGGTTAAATCTCAAAAATATACCTACATCTTTATTGCCCAGGTACAGCACAAACTTATTCGATGCCCTCTGGGGGTTGCCTGATCTTGGCAGAGGGCTTTGGAGGAAGAAAGAAAGCGAAGTGTAGCCTTTCAGATCTTCAAGGTTGCCTGGAGGTCGAACCTCCACACCAGAACTGCCATTGAACCTCATAGGAATAGCAACCTGTTCAGGGAGACAAAATCCAGTAGATTATCACCTCTTGCTCCTACTCCTATTTATTTCACTGCTGTGTCTAATTGCAAAGTGCTCTGTTACATACCCTAATCACCTTACAGCTCTCAGTCACTACAGATTTCCCCTCCAACCCTACCAAAGGATATAATTAGGAAGCAGACTGGATCACACAGTATTCTGTCTTATCAATCCTTATCACAGCACTTTTTTTTTACTCCAGACATCAATTAATCAACTCTTAGTGTGCCTTTGTCAAGCAATTGTTTCCTTCAATACATGGAGAGGGAAGGATGTGCCCTGCAGCTCTAAAAAGCAGGTCTATGAATTATTTAGATGTCTCCATACACATCCTGATGCTTCAATTAGCTGGGCTGGACTGCTGGAAATCATAATGGGCTGCTGATGTTAATAAAGACACCTCCCATTACAGCTATTTATAGGATGCTCACAGATCCCTCTCACTCATTCTATAACCAGGTTGTGATGACCTCAGGGATGCTCCTCAGGGATCTGAGACCCAGCTATCCCTCCAGCAACTCCAGCAGTTGCTTGGAGTAGGTGCTAGGAGCCTGCTCCTAACGTGGTGGGGCAGCTGGAGGCATGAGCACAGAGCTGCACAACTTTTTTTTGGTAGTGCCAGCCTTTAAGCTGCAGAGCTGACTCTACTCCTGCTCCCAAAGACCTTGGGAGAAAAGGGGATATTATACAAATAAATATTACAGAGATCACCTGGGAAAAGCCCTGTGGGAGGAGAATGGAGCAGGATGCTGCTGCACCCCCTCATTTTTATGTACAAATCACTATGCTCCCCACCATCACAGTCACTTTAAGGGCTGAGGGGTGCCCCTGAATTAAATTGAAGCCTGGTCTTGCACGTATTTTAACCCAATGATTTAGAAAGAGGAACAAAATCACTGCTGTGTGTCTGCCCTGGTTCAGCGAGGCCAGGGTTAATTTTCACCAGAAGCTGGGAGGGGGCCACACCCAGGACACACAACCCCACCAGCCCATGGGTTATTCAAGCCCAGGCTGACATCATGCCCCTGTAGAGAGGAGGGCTGGTGGGGAAGCACCAGGGTTTGTGCACAGAGGCTTGGGCTAGGCTGTCAGTGCCTGCTGTGCTTTAAACCACTCACTTCATCTGTTATTTCACCAGTATTATTATCACTGTTGCTTTTTCTCTCTGTGTCATTCTATTAAACCCTCCTCTCAGCCCACAGGGTTTTGCCTTCCTCTCCCTCTTCTCCTTGTCAGCCAGACCCAACCCACAGTGTCCACAGGACTGAGGCCAAGCAAGGTTAGAAGGTTCCAGACCTTGTTTGCAGCATCTCTTGCCTGCTGGATCAGCTCTCTGATACGATTGACGTTCTCAGAGATGTTGCTGACTGGCAGCAGCTGCTGGTTGATGCTCTCGATCTTGCTGAACAGATCTGGAAGTTTGTTTGTCAGTTTTTTTACTGCAACAAAAGGAAAAAAAAATCATTGATGCTAGAGAGGAGGAGGAAGGCATGAAAAAACACAGCGTTGCCACATGATTGTCAGAAGAGCAGAGAGCAGGGTGATAACAGAGCTGTTTTCATCACTACCCAGTGACCATGGATGCTAGGGGAGGATGAGGATGATGGAGAGCACTCAGGGGTCTGGCTCCTGTGCATTCCCAGAGCAGCACCTCCTGCTGCCACTGCTGCAGAGTCAATGCTGGGGCAGGCAGACTGGTGGCCTGACCAAGTAGCTCACATCTCATATTCTTGTGTCAGGGCTGCTAGTCATCACAGCTCAGCAGAGAGCCTTAGAGTAGCTGGGTGGGTTTATTTCAGGAGAAAAGGAGATACTAGGAGAATTTCAGCTTTCATTAAAACAGGAAACATTTTTTTTGTCAGGCACAGGCGATGAAAAATAAGCCTGAACTGTGCCTTCCCAGAGCAGCACCTCCTGCTGCCACTGCTGCAGAGTCAATGCTGGGGCAGGCAGACTGGGGGCCTGACCAAGTAGCTCACATCTCATATTCTTGTGTCAGGGCTGCTAGTCATCACAGCTCAGCAGAGAGCCTTAGAGTAGCTGGGTGGGTTTATCTCAGGAGAAAAGGAGATACTAGGAGAACTTCAGCTTTCATTAAAACAGGAAACAATTTTTCATCTCCTGTGCCTGACAAAAAAAAAAAGCCTGAAGTATTAGCAGAGTGCAATCCTCTGATGCAGAAGGTGAATAAAAAGCAATTCAGACATTATTTTTCTGAATACAATTTCTGAGACAGCTCTGTAAATGGAGGGCTCACTTATGATTCTGCAATAAGATCCAGGGCTAGCTCCAGTGGTTTTCTTATTTAAATGTTTCCTCATTGCTGACTCACATCCAACTTTGTGACTGCCAGGACCCCCAGATCCCTTTCTGCAAAGCTGCTTTCCACCTTGGATGCCCCCCCCCAGCATATACTGGTGCAGGGGCTCATTTCTCCTCAGGTGCAGGACTTCTTGAACCTCACAAGGTTCCTGCCAGCCCATTTCTGCAGCCTGTTGAGGTCCCTCACCACCTTCTGGTGCATCAGCAACTTCTCCCAGTTTTGGGTCATCAGCAGCCTTGCTGTGGGTACACTCTGCCCCATCATCCAGATCATTAATGAAGGTGTTAAACAGGTTTGGACCTGTACTGAAACCTTGGGTACCCTGCTAGTCACTGGCCTCCAAGCCCTTAGAGACCAACCATGGCATTGGCTCTTAGCAGCTAGCACAGGACAGCCTGAATCCCCTGCTGCAGTCCCTGTCCCTTTCCACTGGCAATAACTGAAGCTCAGAATACCAGCTTGGGCTAGGAGCCTAACATCTGGATGACTCAAATTTCTCCTGCAGAAGTGACCATGGGGACCCAACAGCGACTTGATGGGTCTCAGATAGCACGTGCAGTACCTGAATTGTTTGCCTCCATCAGGGCTTTACTGAAGCCAGCACTCTGGGTGCTTCCATAGCTGCTCTTCATTTTTTCCACGTCTTCTTGAATTGGGAGCAGTTCATCCAACACGTTCGTTGTGACATCCTGGGCACTTTTTACCATGTTCTTTGCACTGGTGATGATGCTGTCGACGTCACCTGAAGCACAGAAATGCACGTGCAGATTCTCACAGCACTGGATGAAAGAGGCAAACCACAAGTGCCCAGTGACTGACCTCTGTTTATTCCATTGAGATTATTCTGCAGGGTGACGAGATCAATTTGCAGTGTGTTCTTCTTCCCATCAGCAACATCCAGCCTTCCATTCATGTCTTCAAGGGTTGGACCAACAGCTGCAAAACAGTGTGAATCTTAAACAGAAATATCACCTTTCTGTTGGACAGAATGAGCATTTGCACTGCAGAACAAGTACAAGGCTGAGGATTTGGTGGAGAGGAGGACTCAGAGGTGATAGCATAAAGTAGCAAATCCACCTTCTTGCCTTTGGAAAAACACCAACACAAGATGTCCTGTTGTAATGAAATGACCCTCTTCTGGTTAAACACGTGCTGCAGAGCTTTGCTGAACGGGGAAAACTCATGGATTAATGAAAGCTGTGCCAATATTTCTACCATCACTTTGTTTCTCAGTACCTTGCAAGGTCTTTTCAGTCTCCTGTGCTTGATTCAGGAGCGTAGTGCTCTCAGCTTTTAACTTTGCAGCTTTTCCTGAGAGGTCTTCTCTCTTCACAGCCTGGGGATAGAAGCACGGGACTGTAAGACTTTAATAATTTAAAAAATTTAAATATTTAAAATCATTTTTAAATCATTTTAAAATCATTTAGAAATAAATTTAAAACAAGTTAAAAATAATTTAAAAATACTGAAAGTGAAAGAGTAAAAAGATAGCACAATCCAGTTGAAAAATCCACAAAAGGCAGAGATTCCACGTGAAGAATGCCATCTTAAATAATGATTATTTAAGCAGAATATAATTGGTACAGATAAATGAGGTGAGTTGACCACCCTCTGGCCACTTATGGGGACTCACCGACCACGCGGAGTCAGCTGCCCTCCCGGCTTGCTTGGCTGCCTCCTCTGCTGCCTTGATGGCATTAATTATACTGTCATAGGCAGTAGAAGCTTCCACAGCACAGCCCACCAACTCGTCCTTCCTGGCACTGTTCTTTATGCTGTGGGAAAGAGAGTGAAGATGCAGCTTTCTGCAGAGACTGTGGACTTTGAGAGGGATTCTGGACAGAGCTGAACTCGGTATTCTCTAAGTAATGCCAACACAGAAAATATTTTCCACTTGGTTCTGTAATTTCATTCTCAAACTTGGAGGCAGACCGGTCTGAAAAGGTTCTTCAGAAGGTGGGGTAAGTTGTGCTGTGTGGAAGAGCAGAACTGTGAGCCTTCAAACAAGTCTTGAAACAGGGAGAATTCACCAAGGTGGTCAACAAGCCACCTTGAGCTCAGAGAACTGCAGCCTCTGGTCACCCCTGCTTGCTCCAGCATCCTACAGGAGCAGCAGATGAAACAACTGTTAGACCCCTTGTGTTCTCCCCAAGAACCACCACAGCAGCTCTAGAGATGGAAAGAGCTACACAACTACACAGTAGGAGCTGCCTGGTCTTTGGGAGCACAGGGTCTTCCTAACTGAAAAAAAAAAATCACATTGAAAATCAATCCAAAAAAAAAGGAAGAGAGTTTGGGGTTATTGTTTTGTGTGTGTGGGTCTTTGGTTTTGGGGTTTTTCTTGCAAATAATCTGCACAGGACAAAAAGAAATAAATCAGGACTTCACTTTTTTTTCTCCCATTTTGTTCTGATGTAGCATAGAAGGCCTCCAAAAACTCACTGAAAGATTCCAAGTTATAGTACAAGTTATGGAGACAGAAACACTTGATTCATATCAAGTTTGTCGTATTTTTGCTTTTCTAAGATTCCTTGAAGGACAAAAAAAGAAAGATTCAGGAAGACCTGGGTTTTTAGGAAAAAAAACCCATGAAGAACATCATGAAGAAGCAGAGGAAAAAAACCAAATTTCTCTCTAATGTTGCAAATGGTCATTAAAGCAAGTGAAATTACAGACAGAGCATTGCAAACATTGATGCTGTGTACAGAAATTTCTCATTTACAGGAATGTCAACATACTTTTCCAGTTGTTTTGCCAAGTCTTGCAAAGATTTGGCGTGCTCCTCAGCCCTCACCACCAAGGGTTCCTTGCTTGCTGATAAAGAGTGATTTGTCAGCTTCTCATTCATATCTTTCCTTGCTCCATCCAGCTGAGCAGCCAGACTTTCATATTCCTAAGGGTTCAGAAAGGCAACGTTTTATTTGGACTATTAGATGCTTGATTTTGTCCTTGTCTCCTTCAGTGTTACACACACCTTGCACCCCAGGAGACCAAGCAGGAAAACCTTCCCTCCTGCAGGTGACTGGGAACAACTGCCAGTCATCACACTACACTTCCAGTCCCATCCTGGAAAAACTGAGTCAACCCAAAGACCCTTCACAGAGAGCCCAGCATCCTGTCTCTGAAACTGTCTAAAAGCAATTTTCCAGAAACAGAAGCACAGCACATTCACTTGTGGTATTTCTCACAGATATTCTCTCCCAGATGGAGATCTCTGCAGCTCAGTGTCTTCCTTAGACACATCACAAGCCTCAGGAAGCTTCTCTCAGGGAAAGCTGTGCAGGCAGGCTCCTGTGCAGCCAGGATGGGCTGTGAGATCCCTCCTGTGTGTCCTAGACACTGAGCTGTGCCTCCCACCACGGTGCCAGCAAGATATCAGGGGTTTTAGACTTGAATTTGAGAAGGGAACTATACCTCTTTGGTCTTCTGCAATAATCCAAGCCCACTGTTAGCTTGGGTCAGGGAAGTTCGGGCAGAGCTCAGCATGTCCAAGATCCCATTCTGTTGTGCAGTGGTCTCCTCAATCCGTTTCTGAGGAAAAATAAAAGGTTCATTAACACGTGGCTGGGTTAAAAAATGAGATATGGAAACCACATCTACCTCATTTAGTTTGGAGTAGGACTTAGCCAAGATGCCTGCACTGTCTAGGGACTAATGCTAGCCCACTGAGGAGAAGAGTGAGAGGACTCAGGAGTTTCCAGTAGAGCATAGCTGGGCAGCAGACTACAGGAGTTCAGTTATTAACACCCAAAGTAGCACAGGTCAGCTGAAGGGTCAGGACATCCCACCCAAGTGTCTGATCTTCCACCTCTGGGAACTTTAAACACATCTCCCTGGTGACCACCCTGATCTGTTCCCCTCTCTCAAAGGCAGAAATGAAATGATCCCTTCATCTGGGGACCTGACCTGAAAGGGGGGGTGAAACCTCCTTTCTCTCCTGACAGCTCTGAGGGGAATGAAGCTCCTTGGGCTAGAGCAGCCCTGGGACAAGCCAGGGTGTAGCTCCAGGGTAATGGTGCAGCACAAACACAGCCAGAGGAAGGGTGGTGCAGGTAGGGATGGGTTACCTCTCCTAACTTGGGTTTCTGCTGTTTCAGTATTCCAGCTGAATGTAGAAATTCTTTTGTCCAAGCAGCATTATCAAGCTGCATGAACATGGGTGCTGGAACAGTGATGTATTTCAGGAAAAAAATGCAATTAATTTAAAAGACTGGGTCCAGTCCTGCAGCACACCTTTATTTCTTGTGCTGTTTCACAGGCTCTACAAATCAAGCAGTGTTCAGGAATGGCACCTTTCAGGAAAGGTTTCTTGTCACCTTTCTGATGAGATCTCAGAAGTAGATCTATAGAATATTAATCCCAAATGATTGAACAGTATTGTTCACATTATTGCTCCAATTTTTCATGGTTGTTGAAGTCAAATACTTTAAGAAACTTACTATGAAAGTAGAAAAAAATGCAATTAATTTAAAAGACTGGGTCCAGTCCTGCAGCACACCTTTATTTCTTGTGCTGTTTCACAGGCTCTACAAATCAAGCAGTGTTCAGGAATGGCACCTTTCAGGAAAGGTTTCTTGTCACCTTTCTGATGAGATCTCAGAAGTAGATCTATAGAATATTAATCCCAAATGATTGAACAGTATTGTTCACATTATTGCTCCAATTTTTCATAGTTGAAGTCAAATGCTTTAAGGAACTTAGCATGAAAGTACATCAGCCTCAGGGATTTGATCTAGATTGCAAAACAAAAAGTCTAGTGGCAGCTGAAGAGAAGGGCCAGGCAGATTCTCCTTCTCCTCAAACCTCTGTCTTGGTCAGAGACCACAAGTGGGAGTAGACAACATTCATGTTTGTCCATCCATACATCAAAACATGTACAAATATCTTGGAGAAAGTCTAAAGAATCATTGGTACTTGACTTTGCAAGGTCAAAAGCATCAGTCCAAAGCATTTCTTATCTCCTGAGGTTTAACTTTCTTCTCCCAAATCCTTACATTACCTTAACTTCTTCCAAGAGAACTCCATTATCTCTGTTCAAGTTTTCAGCCTGCTCAGTTTGTCCCGTGGCCTCGTTCAGAGCTTCACGAAGGTCAGTGATTTTGGATTCATAATCATTCAGTGAATCCCTCACAATTTTAATAAGCCCATGATTTTCTTGGTGGTACTTTTGGAGTTCATCCTTAACACGTGCCAGTACTGAAGGATCAGGACGAGAAGGAAAAGTTTTGTTCAGAGAAAAAGGGAACCAGAACCAACTTCCTCCAAAAGGGCTTGGCCTTTAGGATTGGAAAGCTGTGGTTGTGGGGATGCTGAGCTCATTGCAGCACTCATTTCACTGTAGCAGAGATGCTTTCAGCATCCTACTGAATCAAATCTGCTCAGAAGTTTGCTGCTGCAGACACAGAGCACGGAAAAACATTTATTTGGGTATTTCTAGATTAACTAAGGATGCAAACACTGAATCTTGGGGTTTTTTTTTCTATGGAACTAGCACAATTTCATCAACAATTTCATCTACAACTTATGAATCTACATTTGTGCCAGTCATTCAAGCTTCCTCTGTAATCAGTGGAGAGATATGAGCACATTTCATCTCAGAGAAGGCAGAAACATAGAAGTCAAATGAATCACACTCCTAAGAGCACCCATTTCACTGCCTAGAAAGGATACAGAAGAGTTACTCAGTAGGTAAGGTATCAAAGTTCACATTTAGGGGAAATTACTATCACTTGTAAGATCAAGATTTCTCAGCTGGTTAGTCACAAGCCTGTGACTTTCCTGCTCTTGCTGTCTCCAGGGTCCAGAATCAGGTTTCTGAATGTCCCAGCAAAACACAGGCAGAGAATACAAGAGGGAGTACAACTCCCAGCTTCTAGTGCAGCTAGAACTTCTGAACTTCCTTATCCTTGTATGATCTGGCCCTTGGACTACTCCAGCAGCTTCTTAAAATCTGTTATTAAATTAGAAGTACAGTTCCACTAAAATAGCTGCACCTGCCACAGCATATACAATATAGAGGAGCACTGTAGAAGAATGTTGTGATCAGCTGCATCTGTATTTTACTGAGTTTCATCTAGTTATTAAAGAAGGATCTACTGAATGATCTACAGCTCAGCTCAGTCTCTTCCACAACAAACTCAAAATCCCCTCTAGAACTAGCACTTTCCCATGGACTGACTGCTACAGATCCCAGGGATACGCTGCAAAATGCCTCTCTCTGGACTCCATCCCAACCAATAAGGCTTCAGATTGAGGACTGATCCTTCTAGAAAGCAAGAAGCTGAGAGAAGAAGCCCTTACACAGCTGAGCTTCTCTTCGTTCCTTCTCTGCCTCTGCTAGGAGTTGGCCAAAGTTGCGGTTCCTCATCTCTGTCATCATCCCTTGAGCCTCAGCCAGCTCTCTGGCAGCATCTCCCAAGGGCAAGTTGTTCCCTTCTGCATCTGTGCCAGCTATTTGTTCCAAAAGCACTGGAAAAAAAAACAAAGTATTGTCACAGAAAGCTGCACTTCAGTCTCTGGAGAAGACAGAAACAACAGGGCTGGTCTGTTTTCTGAAGACATGCCTTGGCCTGAATACCTTAATCAAGGCAGAGCTAGTAAGATGGCACCAGGCATGAAATTTGTCCCAAAAAAACAAGTTGACAGGAATAATTTTAAACTTCTAAATGGCCCTGTGGTAAATCTTCTCTGTCCCCATTCCCTACATAGGGAAGGCAGGCTCCTAAACTAACTTTATACGTTGGATTTGTAATGGGATGAATGAATTCCACAGCTACATCTAAACTTTGATTTATTAAGTTGTTTTCTAAGAAAACTTCTCCTGCTTAATTAAGAACATGGTAAATGAACTGAAAAGATTCCATAAAGCACAATATTACAGAGTTAGAAACTATTTTTACCTTGTATATTGTTGACGACTATCTGCACTCGTGAAACCAAATCTTTTCCTTTCTGTTGGGTTTGGCCAAAATTACTAAACAACAGCTCAGCTGCTCTGTAGTTCATTTCAGCCTAGCAGGGTTAAAAGTGGATTAGATGAATAATATCTGGATACAGCCTGGTAATATAGAGTCAGGAGATGTGCATTTTTAAAGCAATTTTGTAAGTCACCTTTTCCTGGAGAGCATTTACATCATGATTGAGGTTCATGAATTCTGTTTCCAGCTCGTCCACCTTTGAACCCTGGTTATGAACAACAGAACGGTAATTGTTCAATAAGACCTAAAAAGAAAGAAAAGGGGGAAAAAAAATCCAATAAATCACCCATCATACACAGGAGACAAAAAGCACAAATTCACTGGGTTAGATCTTTACCCAAGGTAAGGAATAGCATTACTGACATGAAGCCTGACCAATTGCTGCCCAAAACCTGGGCTTTTTTTATCTGTGAGTACAACTACTATTCTAATCAAAGATAATTTTTTTTAGGCTGAACTCTGGTATTGGCAATTGGGATGTTTTTTTTGGTAACACTTTTTTTTTTTCATCTGTGAGTACAACTACTATTCTAACCAAAGATATTTTTTTTAGGGTGAACTTTGGTATTGGCAATTGGGATGTTGGTTTTTTTTGGTAACGCAGAGACATGAAGAGCTAGAAAAAGACAGAGGTATAGGGAAACATCAGAGATTTGGTTTTTAAGGTGAGCATGCCTCAAAAATAAGCAGAGATACCAAAGTTCTCTTTCAGAGCATGGCATGGGAACAGCTGTCTTCTCCTAGGTGATGCCCAAGCTGGCAGCATCTGGCATTCAAAACTGAAAGGTGATGGACATCTGCTTGCAAGCTGACAAAAAGAAGGAGTAAATCCTAGCTCCAGCTCTTATCCCTTAATCAGAAACCCACTTCTCTCTCTGTGTGCCCACCTTTAGGTCCTTGATGCGTGTTTCCAGCTGTCTCAGCTGCTCCAGCGTGTGGGTACTGGTGTGGACATTCTGCAGCTGGGACTTGATCAACCTCAGCTCATCCCCCATGGTCCTCAGGTCCTCCAGCAGGGTGAGCACACAGCTGTCACAGGCTGCAGGGAGTCACCAGAGGGAAACAACACGTGGGGCTGGTGGTTGGTGCAGAGAACATCACCGAGCACACTCAGAGAGGAAATGCAATGGAAACATTTTGGTGCTTGTCACCTGGTGCTGCCCCAAGGACAAAGGCAATGGCACAGCCCATGGTGTTAAGGAGAGTGGCCCAAGCCAGAAATAAGGAGGTCCCACTAACATCAGGCTGGCTGACCTATTATAATAGCTTTATATTTATATATTCATTTTATATTTTCTATATTTACGTTTATATCTATATATGTCTATTCTTTTTCCAAGTGTTTGGTTGGATGGTTGCTTTTAAAAGGTTCATCACAGGGCACCTCCAGTCTTTTTAAATTCTACCACCCTTAAGAGAGTTATCAGTACGTATCCAAAGCCAGCAGAAGGCAACCCAAGTGCATTTCTGATTTATTACTTACAGTCACAATCTTCGTTGGGATCCACATCTTTTGGTTCATTATTGAAACACTCTGAAATCACAAGACTGTCGTCAGCAACAGAAGTTTTGTTATGGAAATACTTTTCATTGAGTATGGAATACATTACATGGAAATATTGCATTTTTGCCCTCACTTACCATGGTTGGCAGCCATCAAAACATGGTGCTGCCCTTTCATAAATCCATAGCCACTGTGAATGAGCTGAAATGCCCAGAAGGCTTGAACATCCCAAAACATGCAGCTCCTATTTATGCCTGCCTGAGATCAACCACTTTTTCATCCCTCAAAGCAAACTGACTGTAACCCCCCCAATATATGCTGCTTGGGCATCAGCAGGAGGCTCTCTGACATCAAGTGTGCTGAAAGCATTGCTAGAATTTGTCCAGGAGAGTACCACTGAGATTGGAGCCACGGCTTCAATATTGTTAAAGCATCTTACCCAGGACACAGCTTCAAACCCCTTTATCTACTTCAGCATCCACGTTCCAACCATGGATCCCCACTTCCCCAAAGAACATCTTACTCACAAGGAGCTGAGAGATATTCATGGCTTTTCCTCATACCTGTCACAGCTTGCAGGATTAAAGGATTAATCCAGCTTGAGAGAAACCCACAGTGCATGGAGGGAAGGAGGCACCCTGTGTAACCCAAGCACAGAGCCTGGACCACAGAGAGAGGTGGTAGAGAACAAACACCACCCTCAGACTCCCCAGCAAGCTAGCACAAGTGGCTGCCTGTCCAAGGTGCTGTGCTGGCCTCTTTGTTCTACATACCTTGTTATAATAAGCTGAACATTCTCTAGGTGCACATGGAATCCTAGCATCTGGGGATCCTAACTTCTAGAAGGCAGAAGAGGCTCCTAAAAATGCCATCATATAGGCAAGGAATCTCCTCATCTCGATGCTCAAGTCCCTTTTACAGGCTTGGCTCTACTACTCATCTCCTCTTGAAGCTGAAAAGGGCTGTGAATGTCATTTACTCTGAAGGAAAAGGATGGGCTCAGAGTGCTGCTGGCAAGAGTCAACCACAGCTTGCAACTGGGAGAGGTTACAGTGATCAAATTGGACCTGAGCTTCTACAGCAGCATGAAACAGCCTGGAAGAAACTCTCTAACCATGCCTTTCCTCTGGCACTTCCACATGAAAGTGAAATGGGATTCATAGTGAACATTGCTGCCCAAAGGAGACAAGCCACAAAGAATCTCTTTGTAAGAGAATGAAGGAAAATCACTCTGATATTTAAAGACAGCTCTGCTGTTGTGTAACTCAGCTAACACCAGCCACGTTCCAGCTGCCACTGCAGAGTACCAATTAAATCAAACCTTTCTTCCAGCTTGTGCACAAACACCAGCCAAGCCATGGTGAGGTGCAAAACTCTAGCCAAATGCAGAACATCGTGCACAAGAAACCTGCTAGAACATGCTGTGCTGATGATCAGAGGGTTTCATTCCTCATGTGGAGAAAGAAACAGCCGTTCAGAACACACAAACTGAAGCCAGGCTTGTTGAAGTTTGCCCTGCAGATGAGTTTGTCCTAGCAAACACTTGCTTCAGAAAGAAAGGAATGACAAAACATCAAGCACTGCTTGGATCCCTTCCACACGAGGTATGAATACAATAGAGGTGTGTTATTCCAGTGGTGAAATATGAAAGGAGAACTGGCTATTGAAAAATTGCACCAGTTCACATTTTTTGCTGGATTTCTAATTTCTCTGGCCGAGGAAAGGGAAGGTGATCCTCAGCAATCAAGAGAAATTCAGAGTGTGGAAATATCAGGAGTTATTGCTTTGACACTTCACTAACATCTAAGGAGAAAAAGCTACCTAGGAGGGAAATAAAAGTGTCCTTTTATTGGGGAATGGAAATATGGGAGAACCAAGGTCCTTTTCAGAAGCAGGGGGCTAAATGTTTCTGAGCAGAAATGGGCATCCCAAGGGACTGACGTGAGCTGAGGTAAAGACAATTTGAGGATAAAGTCATAAGCCCTTAGCACATACTGGCAAGATATGATTTAACCACGCCAGAAGAGAAACCACAACAAAATTAATAATATACCCATGAAACTGAAAAAAAACCAACTAAAAGTGGTAGTGTTTAAGGAGGGAAACACATGATAAAGTGGCTGGAGGTACATTTTAGGAAACCTTACTTTTTTTTTTTTAACTTCTTGTTAAAAGTTATTTGCATTTCCTATAAGTCTACATCTTTCTCTCAGTTCAGCTGCTCTAAATGCTTTCCTTCTCTGCTTCCCAGAGATGAAACAACACCCCCTTCCACGTTCCCAGGCCCCAGGTACCTCCAGTCAGGTGGTCACAGCTGCCCAGTTCTCCATTACTATTAGAGTTACATTTCTGACAGTAGCCTCCATACTTTTGTGGGTCTCCAAAATATCCTGGAGCACAGCTAGATAAAGAGATATAGATATTTTTTATTAAATATTTGAAGCTACTCGTATGAAATATACTTTCCATTCACAAAAAAAAAAACCCAAACAATTATGCTCCTGAAGAAACTTCCAAGAATTTTTCATGTCATGTCTTGATGTAGAAAATAATGGGTGTGGTTTTTGTTTACAGTATCCCTGCTAAAAATATCAGAATTTTTAGAATAAAAATAAAAGAACTTCCACATTGCTTACACAGGAATAATTCACTTATGCTGAAAAAAAAATACAATGGACACAGATCCATCCATGCACAGAGATTTGGAGAAGGCTCAGCCCAGCAAACCAGCCCACTCTGGTCTGTGATCCCACCAGAAAGGACTCAGTAAGGAGGGTCATACTGCAAGCATCTGTTGGGATTTCACACAGAAATGGCACTGAATCACTTGTGCTGGGTGAGAACTCCTCTTGTCATCTGCCAGCACAGCAGCCTGAGTGATCTCTAAAGATTTTATAGGTAAAACATGTTGTCCAGACTGGCTAGATTCTATTCCTAGAAGGTCACTCTGTTGTTAGATCTATGGGGTGATAATGTGAGATCAAAGTGCACGATGAGCAGGTGAGGAGCTGCTACATCTGGAAGAGAAAATTCACCTCAAACCTGCAGCTTAGATGTCAAAGGTTACAAAGATGTCACAAACAATGTGCTGCCAGAGCTACTGTCTTCAGGTGAGATGTCATGACTTGGTAGCCTCAAGTTTCCAAACCAGACATCACCCCTTTATGCTTAAATTCTCCCTGGATATTGAACTTAAGATTTGGGATGAAGGGCAGGGTGTTAAATGTGACGTGGTTGCTGCTGCATAACTAAGAACTCTGAAGCACCATCAGAACATTGGAAAAAATGGGAAAATGGGGTTTTTAATTGAAAAGGGACAACATAAGCAGCAGCCACTGTTCCCAGCAGGGGTGCAGAATGGGCACAGGTCACTCTGGCAAGGAGGGTGACACTTTTTGGTAAAAACTGTAGTCACCAACCAGTCTGTGGGCAATTGTTTTCATTTCTTCAGGGAGTACTGGGCTGGAGTCCAGAACAGCACCACCCTATATCAGCTTTCCATATAAAGAGACACTCCTTAAGCACATGCATAGCATGGATTGTGCAGAAATCCATCTATTACCTGACACAGACATCCTTTTAGGGTGTCTCCCCAAAAGCTTGGTGCTGGGGAACAAGCCACCTACCGTTCACAGCGAGCTCCAGTGTAGCCTTCTCTGCAGAGACACTGGATTTCTTCACCATGGGCCACACAGCCAGTTGCAAACCTTTCAGAAGCAAAAGCTCAGTTAAATTCTTTTCAGATTAAAAAGCTTTTACAACACCAAACTGCTTCTCAGCTGATTTAATTGCCTCCAGATCAATTGCCACGACTAATTCTTTGAAGTTTTGTATTGTTTCTTCTCTAAATTCTTTCCTTGGACTAAAAAAAACAATGATTTTCTGACTAAATAATAATTTTATGGACTGAGTATAATAGTTCACTACCCCAAGGAATGCCTAAAATAATCCTTAATACTGATATTCTAATATAAAACAAGTCTGAGTAGCTATTTTCTCTTCCTAGGCAAGGATCAATAGCCTGTGCTAGACAACATTTCCTCCTCTTTGGATAGCTTGTTTTTTTATGGATGGAAATTAGAGGATATTTTTATATAGTTAATATTGTTTGGGGTTTATTGCTTTTTTTTGTTTTTAAATCAAGGCAGAACAGACTCGAGCATCATTTTAAGGAGCCCTAGAGTATATCTGGTTAACACAATGAACATTTTTTTCTGCTTTTTCTATCAGACACATCTAAACTCAAATTTCTCTGGGAAGAAAACCACTTTTGGGCCAATGTTTGGGAAGCAGAAGGCAGGGGGAGAGGCAGGGATAGCCCATTTGCTATTTCCATTTTGTAACCTATGAACAGCTGGATAAAGCAAGTCTGGGTATCAAAGACAGATGTCTGGACTAAGAATTACACCTAATTTGATGAGGTGGAAAACTGTCAGCTCCAATAATGGCAGGTGGAGTGCATTTCCTCAGTCAGGAATGGTTTTACCCCCCCAACGTGCAGCAATGAAACTCAACACACAGGTTCACGTTCTCTTCAGATATTTCAGCACTCTCAAAGCAAAAGATGACTAAAAATATGTTCAGCCTCAGGCAAGCACCTGCAGAAGAGGCCAATGCTGTCAAAACCAGAGCTATCAGGGAGTCCTCTGATGAATGACAAGCCTGTCTGTTGTCTGCTGGTGTAAATCTCTTCCTGAAGGCTGCCTGCTGTTTGCTAATGCACCTGGCAAATACTATCTGCTGCCTCCAGCAATTTAGAGCTTATGGGGGTCTTAAAAAATTGGTTTTATCTAACACAGTTCACATCTGAGGACTGACCAAGCATGGCCAACAGTGTGGCCAAGCAGACGATGCATTTAAACTACAATTTGCTTTCCAATTGGTACAGATTGTACAAGTTTTACCCAATTTTAAAAGCCTGGCAACGTTATTAGAGCCAAGGGAACTGGTCTCTAGCTCAACGCGTTTGCACTTCTAATGGAGCTCCCACCTAAAAGGCACCATAATCTCTCAGAAATCTAGATCTTTGCTTAGGAGCTTTAAGGTTTTGAATTATTTTGCATCTCATTACACTTTTGGAACTCATACCAAAGGCTTGTTTCATTGTTGTCACTGTCTGCTGATCAGAGTCATGGTGTCAAACACCAGCCTAAAGATAACTTACACCCTGCATTTCAGTGAGCAAGATTCTGGCTATGCCCAAGAAGAGTAGATTTATTTCTCCCTCTGAAGGAGCTGCTGTGCTTTATCCTTGCCTGTACCTGTTTGTGTAAGGGCAGGGACACACCCGACAGGAGCCTTGGGTGGCATCTCCAAAATATCCATCTTTGCAGCGCTCACATTTCTCCCCAGCAGTGTTGTACTGACAGTTCTTCAAAAGGAGAGAAGCAAGACAGTTAACAGCACATTCACCACTCCACCTGGCTTTATTATTGATTTCTTTTTAAATCACAGCAAATCTGCTCAGAGGATCTGTTCTCTCCCTTCCACATAATCCAACATTTCCTGCCAAACTCCCTTCACAACCAGGATAAATTGATTCCAGTCATCCTCTGACTGTAGAAAGCACAATTTGTGGGAAAGCAACAGCTAAATAAGCAGTATTAAACATTTTTAAATAAACTTAGATGTCTAGTTTGTTAATGATCATTCCATTAAGGCACTCTCTATGTCTTGATACTTCAACTAAAAATCACTGTCTTTAAATGGAACTTTAAACGTTGCATTTTAACATTAATTAGAAGGCAGATAGCATGGAATTAATTGAGCCCAAGTGCATGCTTTAAAAATCTGATGAAATTAAAAGTATTTCTTGTAGTCGATTCAGATCATAATTGAATTTTATGTGGTTTCTTTACTCCTTATGTAGTTTGTATTTATCTAGGGTAACTGGAATAAATAATGAAAAGCAAAGGCTGGGAAAACAATTGAAACTGATGGAACTAAGCCACTTTTTCCATGATAAAATCGTTTGGAATTGTATCTTTTGCTATGAACATCCTTTCTGTGATTCTACATTGACACATTATGGGGAGAGGATGAGCAAGTTGCTTTTGTATTACCTAAAGCAATGCTAATTTAAAACAGAAGTTCCAATACATTTTTCAGCAGCCATAAAAACCCCCTGTTACTCTGCACCCAGTAACCATCATTTGGTTTAAGAACAAGATTTGTGGCTCACTTGTGAAAGGCTCTGGAAAGAACAGGGAAAACTCCAGTTCCCATATCAGCCACTTAACTAGGGGAAGCTAAAGTAAGATGAATACTCAGGTTTGTAAAAGGAGCCACTTTAAGTTGCAGCCTGGTTAAAACCTGGTGCAAAAAAAGCTCATGGAAAATTCCTAAATAATTACTCAACATTTTTATTCCTCATTAGGTGGAGGCTCACAATAGAAATAGAGCCCTCCGGGCTTTCATTTTTCACTGTATTCTCCTGGATGACTTCACTTGCCCTAAATTTTGTCTCAGGGCCAAGTGTTGATTTAACTCTATCTGAAAACCAATCCAGGTGTGAGGAGGAAGGGATAAAGAGAAACCTAAATCACACACTTCAGGAGGTAAAAGTCAAAATTGCCTTTTTTGTTATTCCTTTTATAATTTTCATCTGAAGTAAAACTTCCTCATCTTTCCAGCTCTGCTGCAGCACGTTCCTGTCACAGCCTGCCCTGCCTCTCCACCTCAGCAGCCTGGAAGTCATCCCCTAGAAGGTGCTGGATTGGTTTCTAGTTTCCCTTGAAGCCAGAGGGTTGGTTGAGCTGAAGTCAGGGGGTTGGCATCACCCAGAGGAATGCACCGCGGGCACAACGGATGCCCCACGAACAGGGAGGCAATAGCACAGAACACAGACCATGAAAGATGTTGGCAAGGGTCTTGTTTACTCAAGTAAGTGAAAAATGAGTGAAAAGTGAGAATTTTCCAGAACAAACTGTCTGAAGTGTCGTGGCTGGGGAAGCACAGTTGGCCAAGGGTCACACTTCCATTGCTCCGAGGGCTGATCCACTCCCAGGAGGCTGCTTTGGGTTTAAGATGGAGCAAAATCTGCTAGATCTTCTGCTACACCTGAATATCTCTAATTAACCTTTTATCCCCTTTATCTCATCTCATTTTTTTTTAATCCACCTAGCTGTAGATTAAGATTAGGGGACATTTAGCAAGGCTGATTAAACAGGAGACTCTGCCAAGGCTGTGCTGTGGATGGATGTGCTACTTGGTAGCACTGGCAAGCCCTAGGACAGAGATTTATATAAAACTAGGGACTGCAATAAGATCCATATTTATTATAAACAACTGCAAACACTTGTGGTACAAATTGGATGACTTTTTGCACCAGGAGCTAGGAAAAATTATGTGGGAAAGAATGCAAAAATAGAACAAGGACACCAATTGCTCTGATCACTCACAGGTACAATTAAATGTACATGTTAAGTGTATGCAACTTATGCTCATTAACAGTAGAGGCTACAGAAAATGAGGCATGCAAGGATTACTTTTAATTGCTTGGAATTTAACAGTATTGTGTAGTCCAAGCTGCATTAAGGCAAATGCATTTTTTCCCATCTTTTTTTTTCCCCTCAATTAATTTCTTGAACGTTAATAATTACTTACAATACATTTTCCAGTACCATCCTGACAACTGTTTGAATTTCCATGGCAGTTGCAAGGGAGGCAGCGCCCAGGAAATAATCCCTTATTCTCACGATAAAATCCAAGGCTGCATTCCTTCAGAGAAAAGAAATAATGATGAGTGTTGGCAGAAAGTCTTTTTTACAGGCTGTGGGAAGCACATTTGGAAATTCCTTGCCATTTCCAAGGGGTAGTGGAGGTGTATGCTCCTTGCAAGCCCTTCCAAGCCCATACTGGTGTTGAAATAAGTATTTTAAGGCAGTGAATAGTAATGAATGGAGCTGGAAAAGTTTCATCCCAAGCCTGTGCTGTACACTTTGTGGTAGTGGGGATTTCATCATTTTGCCTCTAACCTCTGTGCAAACACATTTCCCTTGGCTATGTACAGAGGTGAGGTGTAGAATATGACTAAAAAACCACAGAAAAAGATTTGAATGTAGATTTATACTACAGTGTGAACTCTACAAAGTGTAGAGCTATACAAAGCCATGCTTAGACAGAGCTAGTGATAAAGAAAACACAGAACAGTCTAATTTCTAAGTACAGGCTTGCCCTGGAGACCTGGGAAACAGGAGAAGAATGTTCAGCTGTTGAGGGCACAGGAGATCAAAGCTGGGTTTAAACAGGGTGGGGAACCAGGGGATCATTATGAATGAAGTGAGAGAAATGGACTTTGTCAGCCCACACCAGGAAGGGAGCCACTAATATGTCAAAACCAGGTGGTTCTTGCCTGGGAAGAACCAGGGCAGGGAGAGCACAAGGGTGGGGAAAGCTCAAGGAATTCCTCCTGGGCACAGAACCTTCCCTTATACAGACCAATTCAAATGTTCACGCCCATCTTCTCTGCTCAGCATCCTCCTGGCACACCAAAAATGACCAAAGGTAAGTTTATTGCCTCAACAGCCTTCAGAAAACAGGTTAACAGTTGAACTTGAAAGCCATAAATCTCTTCTCACAGCAACTGCACCACCAAGACCAATGGGAGTAACGTGCAGAGCAAAGGATTTGTGGAACAGTGTCTCAAATCACATTCCAGTGCTTTGAGGGGGAAGTATTTATGCAGGGGCAGTTTTAACCAGTGAATTTATCAACCAGAGGGAGAAAAGAAAAATAAATCACCCCTCCAAAGCAGAACCCAAAAGGAATATGAAGCTATTGCTGCTTAAATAAGCTGGTAGTGCCACCTTGCCCTTCTTTACATGTGGGATGAATGAAAAAAACCACCTATGCAGAATATTAGTATCATCAACAGCTTTTAATACTGACTTCAGCATGAGTGAAGTTAGAATAGACACGAAATTTTTCAGATAGATACATTTTTAAAAGGGTTACTACAGTCTCTGAACAGGGAGCCAATATACAGAGCTGCAGAAGAAACCAGGGGCTGAAATACATTAAACAGCATGACTAAAACCCAGGCTCTAGTGCATATAAATTATATTTACTGAAAGTCTTTTTGGAGAGCAAAATGAATCACTCCTTGTTAAAATACACCCAAAAAAAAAAAAGAAATCTCTGCAGCTTTTTGTTTTTCTATTTATGCTGGCTTGAAAACATTGGGAGTAGGTGGGGGCTTTGTTTTTGAAGCAGCAGTTGTGACCCTGAGAAACTGAAAAGATCAAGCTCCAGGCACTTCCAGGGGCTCAGGAGTTCAGGCTGAGTAATTTCAAGTAAATGGCAATTTAAAAGAAGCTTCTGTCTCACACACCTCTGCTAACAAAGTTCTTTGGGACGTGACTAGCTTCGCACATGACTCAACATAAAAGTAATAAGCTATAATCAGATTAGTCCATTTAAAAACAGAAGGAAGGAAGGGAAAATGAACACGTTACCTGTCTCAGGTGAAAATCCCTTTGGACTTGCTGCTGCTGCAGGTGAGGGTAGGAGAGCCTCTGTTGCATACCTTGTGCTAAGCAACGCCCCAGGGCTACTAAGGAGACAAGCAGCCATCCTCCACTCCTCAGCCCCTGCCCCTGGACCATCCTTTGGCTGCAGCTCCACCGTGAGCACGCAGGGCCAGCCTTTGGCTGCTCACCTCTTCTCTTATACTCTCTCTTCCTCCCCAGCTCCTGACTCAGCCTAACGAGGCTGCGTGTTGCAATGGGCCCCACCTTTCAGCCTGACACATGAGTCAAGCAGTGCAGCACACATTGCTGCTCCCCAGGTTAACCAGTAACCCAGCAGTTCCTGGGGCTCCATATATACCTCAGGTGGGGTGTGGCAGGCATCACCTCCTCCCCACCTAAGGCAGCCCAGACAGAGCAGTAAATCACTGCCTGAGTAATGCTGCATAAACGTGGGGCTTGGGAACTACCCAGGTGAGTGTCTCCATCACTTCCTTCAGCTATGGATCCCCACCAGGCTACAGAAAACCCCCAGCAGCTTAGTTCAGCAAGGTGGAAAGTCAAAAGCAATGGCATGGAAGCAGGAATTCTAGTCTGTGCTCATTAATTATGTGGCCCAGGACAGCCAAATGTGTGAAAAGATAAGTTTCTGGAAGTATTTCCACGATGGCATTTGAGAGCTGATGAATAGCTGAGCAGCAGCAGGAGCCACACAATGGCATCAATGTTGTTTTGTCCAGTCTCTCTGCAGCTGCCCTGGTCTAGACACTGCTCTTCCATCCTCATTCCAAAAGCCTTCACAAGGTTAGTGCAGCTGCTGCTTGATGGTGACCCTCAACCATTTTCTAAAAGAATAATTCCTCCTATTTTCTGCACTTTGGACAATCCTTATCTCTCCAGCACTTTATTCTGCTGCCTCAGGGGCTTATGCATGGGAAGAGTCAAGTTCTAAGCTAAGGGAAGGGACAACTAAAAGAATTACAGCTACAGGAACAGGAATTCACCATCCTTCAGGGAACAGTTTTCTTTGCAATGTTTTAGAAAAATACCTTCACATATTTTTTTTTGCAAACAGGTTAACTTCAGCTTTCAAACCTCTTCCTATAAAAAAAGGAAAGCAGGGCTTATGCATGGGAAGAGTCAAGTTCTAAGCTAAGGGAAGGGACAACTAAAAGAATTACAGCTACAGGAACAGGAATTCACCATCCTTCAGGGAACAGTTTTCTTTGCAGTATTTACCTCATCTTTTAGAAAAATACCTTCACATCTTTTTTTTTGCAAATAGGTTAACTGCAGCTTTCAAACCTCTTCCTATAAAAAGAGGAAAGCATCCAGAATTTTCTACATT